GGTGCGCGGTTACGGTCCATTTGGATTCTTAGCACCTACTTTTGAAAAGAAGAAAAAATATAAACAGTAGGTACCTACCCAAAAGTAGATAACGTACGGAAACACTAATTATTTATGTACGATTCTAGCTTGACAGGCACCTTTCTTAGTGATCCAATCTGATAATATTTGTGTGCTTAATAATGTCACGTGTATAATTCAAGGTCTGTTACTGGTCCTTAGTAGGTATCATCGACACCGAATTATTATTAGATAATAATATGTCCTATATGACTTCTTATTTATGTGAGTTCTTCCGGCTTGGGTGAGGCGAGTGGCAGGCCCTTATTGACTGCAAACCACCCCGTTCCTAGTTCCTACTACTGCTTCGAGCTCCACAGCCCCGGTAATATCCGTAAGGTCGTTCGCAGCCTCAGAAGTTTCATTTACGTACCTAGATAGAATTCGATTCAATGATTACTTACCAATCTCATGATTGAGTATTTGTTAATTATCCTATACTAGCCAATCCCGTTTTCTGCCGTTCCCATAGGATTTTCAAGATTTGTTCTGTCATAAGAACCTTCTGACAATAATAAACAAAACAATAAAATTCATCCTTAAGGGTCTTATAGAGTAGCAGTAGACGGTCCAAGTTTTTGCCAATAGCTAGGGCTTCTAATATCTAATAGGTAAATCTATCTATACTTATAATAAATCTGTAGAGAGGTCAATTCTGTACATAAAATACATTTAAAAAATAACTATCAAGGGGTGGTTAGGGATCGCTACTGATGCCAAAAATGCAATCAGTAAAACTTTTATCTGTCTGTCTGTCTGTCTGTCTGTATGTTCGTTATGAAAACAAAAACTACTCGATGGATTTTAAAGAAATTTGGCACAATTATACTTCATACTCTTGGGCAGGTTAAAGTATACTTTTCATTACGCTACGATCAATAGGAGCAGAGCAGTGAAGGGAAATATTGGGAAAACGGAAGAAGTTACTCCATTTTTTAAGCTTCCGTCGCGTGTGCAGCCTTATAGGTTAAAGCTGCATAGAAATTATGTATGACGGAAATATTCTCCTTTAAATTATATAAAAAATATTCTTTGACAGCATATGTCTATCTTTTATGGTTGACTCACAATAACACGTGAAACTTCCGATAGCTTAGCAATTCGGTGATTTCTGATTGTATTTGTCTACTCTAACGTTTACAATACTCATTCATAGACTTTACGCTGTAACTGAAAGGCCAATGGTTGAAATTAGCTTGACTCGATATTATAAATGAAAATATGTGAGTTTATGTGTATGTTTGTTACACAGTCATATTAAAACGGCTGAAGAGACCGGAATGAAATTCGGAACAGAGGTAGAATATTTTAATTATATAGGCATTTTAACATCGCGGCGAAGCCGCGGCAGACTAGTACTATATTTTAATAAGTGTATTTTTATTATTTGTTCTAATTATGTTATTAAGGAACAACATAATTAAGTAATAAGAATTTACTAATTATTATATAAAAACCAAAACCTGACGTAACTGAAGATATGAAATCATTAGACATATGAAGTACAGGTGAGGTAAGTAATGGAAAAAGGCATAAGTTTTAGTAGGTATTGCCGTATATACAATTCAATATTCATTACCCTAACACCAGTGGCGTAGTTATTGAATGGCAAGTCGTTGCACAATATGAAAATATGCCGGTGCGCCAACAAAGCCCAGGGTGTCTCGGAACCTGACCATCATCAATAGCCTATAGTATGGAACCTCTTCTACTTCTCACATGGAGAAGGTTTGTGCATTAATCACAGCGCTCACGCAGTGCGGGTTGGCGATTTCAAACTTATAATTAGAAGTTTAGAAGTTTAAATTAGAACTTTCTAAGCCCAGATGTCCCCACAATGTTTGTTTTTCTTCTATGGCAATTGCGTCTCCACTATTTAGTAGTTGACTATTCTGCCAGCGTCATGTGTTACGGCAGGTGGATACAGTACCGTCGAACTTTATTCACTTCGAGGTGTGTCTACAATGTTATTAACTGGCAGACTGGACACAATGTGGTTGGTAAACACTAAACATATACATACATAAAGTAAATTACACTTTATGTATTTGAATAAAAATGGGACAAAACATAAAAAAACATTATTATATTGCATTGACATTTAAAACATTATTATAAGTGCCATTCTGGCCTAATTGAAATAAATGATTTTGACTTTGACTTTGACTTTATATTAGGCACTCTCATTATATATTAGGTTTTAATATTATTTTTAGTAATGAATTTTGCGAAAAGGTTAATGAATTTAGGGTAAAAATGGGGTAATAGTGAGTGAAAATTTATTGGGAGGGGGACCCACAATGTTGTCCTTCAACGTATGTCACTGGTGACTTATTAATCTTAAAAACTACATAAAACTCGCAAAAGTCAAATTGGTACTTGCCAGGGTTTGAACCCGCACCCATGAGAGGTGGTCGTCTTAAACCTCCGGGCCACCACGACACCTGTGGATCTGGAAGCTGACTATAAAAATTTAACTAGTTACTCATAGCATCCTTCTACATTTTCACTCTCTTAATTTTACTTTTGAAAGTTATAAGTATTTTTAAAACAAATAAACTAGATTGCAGTATTCTAACACCAACTATGGCAACTTCTTTTAAAAAAATACGGGGAATTCCCAACTAGTCTCACAAACATTTCTCTTAACTTGTAACCTTCGGGTACACTACCACGACAAAGATGCAAATGGGACATATGCAATGACTTATTTTATTTTGGATTTTTATCGTGACAACACGCGATCATACGAACCTTGGCCTTTGGACAGTTTTTTTTGAACCGTTCTTTCCCTTGTATTTTATATTTTCTGTAACTTTAATTTTTTTAAATAAATTCTTTACCCAAATTGATTTGCATATGGTGGCGGGGTGTCCTGCGTGGGCTGCGACGACGACCTGTCGCGTCCGTGCTTTGGTTCAGCCTATCGTACGGAGCGAGGGGGACTGGGATACCGTCTCCTCCTTCTGCGAAGCAGTCATGCTAGCCAAGGAGGAGGCGGGGCGCATGAGGGAACAAAACTCCTCACGCTCTAGTCATCGCAAGAGACACTCCGAGCGTCGGGGATCACGAGATGATCTCCGGCCACCGTAAGCACGGGCCTGCGGACGGCGAGCACGGGTGACTCGCCGTCCGACCAGTATGGCACGTTGCGTTCAGCACTCGCCTCAAGGAGCTATCAGATCACAGATGGGCTGATGCCGACACCGAGTCGCGGAGGGCTTAACGGGTTGCCGGAGCTCCGGTTCGAAGTGCAGGAGCAGGAACGGGGTGGTTTTTAGTCAGTAACAGTTTGACACTCCCCCTCGCCTCACCCGGGCGGGAGTAGTAATGGGATGATTTTTCCCCATTAAAAAAATGTATCTAGGTATCGCGCAGCTGTAGCGATTCTCTTCTCACATTGGGTAACCCAAGTTCAAGGGAAATCCCCTGATTTTATTATTTGATGGAAATTTTATATATCAATTTACAAATTAGAATCAGTGAATCAGATCACTCAGTCAGTCATCACGTGCACTCATAGAACATTTATAAAACTGCGCGCGCTTGGGAGCGAGTTATACGTGTATATAACCCGATGGGTTTAAGTTTTATTAATTGAGTTTTGTGACTATCGGAATTTTTGAAATATAAAAGTATCGTACATCTACCACCATAATCGTAGTTATAAAATATAAACGAAAATGTAAGTAATTGAACATGGATTTATGTAGTAGTAGTTCTTAAGTACCCTCCTACTTTCTACTTTGCTCCTATACACTATTTTTTTTAAGGGGGGAAAATCATCGAATGTCTTCTCCCGCCTCGGCGAGGCGGGAGGGAGTGTCAGACTCTTACTGACTAAAAACGACCCAGTTCCTACTCCTGCACTTCGAGACGGAGCCCCGGTAAACCGTTAGGTTCTCCGCTCTTCTATAAACTATAGAGTCAGTGTGTATGTGCCTACCTACCTGTAGATTTATTTTTGGTTCCTTCATGTACTGGGTACCTATATGTGTCTATATTATACTAGCTTCTGCCCGAGACTTCGTATGTGCAATTTCGTTATATCCGTTCCCGTAGGATTATCGGAAATCCTTAGAGTAGTTGAGTTATAAGATTAAATAGTATAACTATGTAATACGACTATCAATTTCTTGACTTCAAAATACCTAACACATCCTCATGTAGAAAATAATATACTAGACTACATTTTTTTTTTATTATTTGTTACGTTGATACTGCTTACGTAATTAACCATTTCATAATTTTGGAAACAAGAGTCATGCAGAACTTTTACTCGCATAACTGCGTAGCATGATGGGCTGTTTAAAATAAAATTTATTAGAGTCGCTTCGTACTTCCAACCGATCAATCAGGAAGTGTTTGGGTGAGGCATAATTCGTCATCTCCCACAGTGGATATTGTACCTACCTAGTCGGTCTGTCTCGAATCCAGCATTATTTTAGGAGGTTTGGAGCTTAAAACATCAAAATTCTATCATTGTAGAGACTCTGGCAGCCAAATCTACATAATAATTATTGTTACAGGCATGACTAATAATATCTCCATGGTTACAGATCATTGAAACTGGCCGTTGTTAGTCTCATGATCATCTCTATTTTGTTTTCTAATACCTACTGTGTTCAAAAAATATCCGAACGCTATATGTGACTGTCAGATATGACAAATTGTCAATGTAATGTCAGCCTTTCACTCCGTCGTGTCGTAGTCGTCAAACTCGTCAAATAAACAAAAATATTACACGTTCATTTCATTCGAGAGAAATAAATTATATTAAAGAATGTGTAATAAATTTAATAAAAAGCTATTTGAATTGTTTTTAGTAAAGCTGGTGTTGAAATAAAAATACCTAATTTCAATACTATTCAGTCTTACCTTTTCGTAAAAGTTAACCAACTTTTTGAGAACATTGATAAAAACATAAATAATATATAACTATGTCGGATATTCTCAGGCCTCAAGTGAAATGGATAGAAGGCAGATGTTACAGAGTTAATGATCCTGCAGTCGATACAACTACTTTTCATGAACATGACTTGTATGAAAATGGTAATTTGTTTCACTTTTATCTAATAAAATAAACTTCATCTCTTAGGACTATAAAATTTTGTTTTTGATAGTTCTTTTTTGTTAAAATATTTGTGAGAAGTATAAAATTGATGTAACATTTCCCTTAATAAAAATATTTGCTGACCTGACTGAATTTTGTTATCCTGTATTAAATTGAATTTAATCAAGTTAGCAAAACAAGCAAAAACACTGTCTTTTGTTTTTCAGATATGACTTATAATGACACAATTGATGAAGATGAAGAAGAAGATGATTTTGAAGTTGTCAAGGTGGACAATTCACGATATAGTACTAAGTTCCACGTATCCAAGTATGAATGTCTACTATTAAGTCTATTTTATGGTTGGTTTAAGAATTTATTGATTTGGAAGTACAAAAATTGAATGGCTTTTAAAATTTCAGACATTACCTTGGATCAATAATTGGCAAAAAAGGTGCAATTAGGATGAGACTTGAAAGAGATACCAAGACAGATATCAAGATACCGAGACAAGGCCAGGACGGTGATGTAGCTATATTTGGACCCACGGCACAGGTAACAGGAACTTTATATTAATAACTAGCTTCTGCCAGCAGCTTCGTCTGCGTACCTGTAGCTTAACAAGTGGCCTATGTGTACCTACATCTGTTCCAAATTTCATCTCAATCCCTTCAATAGTTTTTGCGTGAAAGAGTATTAAACACACACACATTTTAGGTCTTTTCCTCCTCCTCACAAACTTTTACATTTATAATATTAGTAGGATCTTTAGGTATTTACATAAGTAAGTATGCTTCCACTAAATATATGTCTGTGCAAGTCTGTGGCGATCACCACATGGTTAACATGCTTAATGAAAAAACAAGTCTAAATTTTGTTTCTTAATAATGAGCAATTAATTCTCGTTTCAGATCTTGAGTGTTATTTAATATAGTCCAAGAGCCAGTGAACCCTGGGAGTAACGGTCTCCCTGTAAGGTTAGAAATTTGTATACTTACGATTTATGGTATTCTAAGAGCAATAGCCATGACCTGGCAGGCGTCAGCCCTGCACGTCATCAGCCCCTTTATTTTTTGAACTGTTAAGTAAATTGGGTTTCAAAACTTGTTTCTGTAAATTTGAAAATTTAATAGGATAAAGTTTATTTATTGTACATCTTAAAAAAAAATTGACAGGTGATTACAATAAGCAGAAGTATATGACAGATCAATTAGAAAACGCACAGTTGATGAGGTAATTAATAAACTTTATCCTGTATACTTGAAATTTTTATATGTCTTCAAATAAACGTCTCAGAGTAAATTTTTACAATGCCAGGCGGTTTTGAACAGCATAAGACATTGACAGGCGAGGGTAAATATGTACAATGCCAGGCGATTTTGAACAGCATAAGACATTGACAGGCGAGGGGACAGCTGCTAAGAGCGTGCGAGAACTGTCATGAAGATGGTACAATACATAAACTCAGAAATCAGCAATGGTTGAAATTTTAAAGGCAACTGTGAAGACGTACCAAGACGTTTTGATGTTGTCATTTTTGATGGATTCTTCTTACTGCATACATTAAAAAATATCCCCAAAACATTTAGTGGTATTTCCAAAAATATTATGTCGCTACTAACAGCTACACATGCCTCACGAGTAGATATCATTTTCGACCGACAATACTTTTCGCCGTCAATTAAAGATTATAAACGAGCCAAACGACAAGAAGTACGAAACAAAAATTATTTCATTACCGGACAAGAACAAATTCGACCAGTTGATTTTATGAAAGAACTTCGTAACATACAATTTAAAGAAGCTTTCGTAGATTTTTTAATTACACATTGGTGCACAAATGAAATGATAGAGTTTATCGGGAATACCATAGTGAACTAAAATTACAAACAATGCCATACTTATAGTGTCCATAATATTCTGTGGTTGTCGATATAAATGATGATTTATCGTGCCAAAACCATGAAGAGGCCTTTAAAATTTGCCTTTAAAATTTCAACCATTGCTGATTTCTGAGTTTTATGTATTGTACCATCTTCATGACACTTCTCGCACGCTCTTAGCAGCTGTCCCCTCGCCTGTCAATGTCTTATGCTGTTCAAAACCGCCTGGCATTGTACATATTTACTCTGAGACGTTTATTTGAAGACATATAAAAATTTCAAGTATACAGGATAAGTTTATTAATTACCTCATCAACTGTGCGTTTTCTAATTGATCTGCCATATACTTCTGCTTATTGTAATCACCTGTCAATTTTTTTTTAAGATGTACAATAAATAAACTTTATCCTATTAAATTTTCAAATTTACAGAAACAAGTTTTGAAACCCAATTTACTTAACAGTTCAAAAAATAAAGGGGCTGATGACGTGCAGGGCTGACGCCTGCCAGGTCATGGCTATTGCTCTTAGAATACCATAAATCATAAGTATACAAATTTCTAATCTTACAGGGAGACCGTTACTCCCAGGGTTCACTGGCTCTCCAGCTAATAACTGTCCTCAATTCTTAATATCCTTACTAATATTATAAATCTGAAAGTGAGTTTGTTTGTTTGTTCCACCTTCACGCCGTAACTACTCAACCGATTGCTTTGAATTTTTGCAGACGTAAAGTTAGAAGTTCGGATTAATTAAATAATAGGGTACTTTTTAACCCGGAAAAAATTGATATTCCCAAGGAAAAACAAAAGTATTGGTATAGATGGCGCTGTGTGTGTTGGTATGTGTTACATAGGCTACTTTTTATTCTTTTGTGACGCGAGCGAAGCCGCGGGTAAAAGCTAGTAATAAAATAATTCCTAATTCTTTTGCTGTATACTATATAAAAGCACATATTCAATTTATTTCATATAACAGAACTAATTATTATGTTTTAGGCTTACGTAACTGTACTAGTTTCAAGTCTTGCTAGAGGCTCATATTCATGAGCAGCATTCTGAGAACAAACAATAAATAATTTTGTATGTCTCACGAAAGTTTGAATATAAATGTTACAGAATGTCAAGGCAGCTAGAAGAAGAATAAACATGATAGTGGTGTCATCGAGGATGAAACAAAAATATACACATTTTATATCAATTCCCATGAACCATACAGATGTACAGAAGAGGTTTGAAGAATTTAAGGTAAATATTATTATCTATCACTGAAACACATTAACTATAAATAATCATTAAACATGTCATTGTTACCATGTTTGCTGCTTAGTCTACACAGCGTGTCCAAACCCCCAGATCATTTTTTTTAATAATTCACGTTGCTGTATAATTTCGTAAGTCATTTATTTAAATGAAAATAGTATAACTTTGCAGTTGTTATACTAAAAAAAACATAATTATGATACTATTTTTTTTTACATTTTAGGAGAGTGTTATGCGAGAATGCCCTGGTCGGGGTCTTGATAGTTCTTTGTTCATCCAGCCTAGTAAATTGCATCTTACAATTGGTGTCATGTGCTTAATGGACAATGAGGAGAGGTTGTTTGTATCCAAACTACTTACTGAAGCTAAAGAAAAAATTATCATGTGAGAATATTTTATTTTTCTTCCATTATTGTAGCATGAGGCTTAAAATACGAAGTAGCAATTTTGTTTGATAAAATTAAATGCAAGAGCCAGTTTGTGTCTCCAAGCAATAACTTTAATGTATACTCTTTTTAAAGATTTTTCTAATTAAGCTATATAAATATAAATTCCGGGTTACCGGGAATCGCAAGAAAAAAAATACGAGTGTGTCAGACTGGCATAAAGCCACCTAAGAAGAAGTCGTGCCGCGATACGAATGACGCATAGCGCTATCTATCGACATGTACCAGAATTTTATATAGGTACATGTACAAGTAATAATAATATACTTTGCAATACATTTATGTTTCTTATTATCTTAATCTCTTACAGGAATTTTAGATTAAAATGTAGATTAAGATTATACATTACTTAGATACGAATTGTAATTTGGATTTTTTTATTTGCAGGCCCATATTGCGAGATCATTTGCCATTAAAGATCAGATTAAAGGGATTGTCTTACATGAACGATGATCCTTCGCAGATAGATGTTTTGTATGGACTTGTGCAGGAAGAGGGAGGTCCACAGGGCTTGATACAACAGATAGCTGATGGCTTAGTACAATATTTCAATAAAGCAGGTAATTTTTTGTAATAACCATCGTGAGACATATAAAATACTGAGAAAAGCTCTACTACTTTCGAGCCACAAAGGGCTCTTCCTCATGAGCTGCGTGCTAGTAGCAAGCACGCTGCTAATTACAGGCAGGTAATTACTGAATATGTTTTTATACGTCAATAACTCGCTGACTGCGTTGTTACTCTACTGTACTGCCCTATAAGAGAGTAATTGGTTCTGAGGCCGTAAGCACGATTGCTGCCCAAGCGGTCTCGAGTTGAATTGAATTTCGAAATACTTCGAGCTTAGTATAATAACATAAAATCACGCCTTTTATCCCCGGAGGGGTAGGCTGAGGTTCACATTATGCCACTGTAAAATGTAACACCCACTTTTCACTATTTATGTTATGAGTCCCATGTAATAGGGGGTGAGGCTTAGTATAATAATAAGAAAATAAACTCGTCTCCTGTTACATGGAACTAGCATAAAGGCCGAACAATAAATGTTATTTTATGTAAAATACTATAAACTGCCTTTAATTGCACACAATAAAGACACGACTCCAGCTCGCTCTTTTTTGCTTTGGAAACAATACAAAAAAGCTGTAAGCGCGCCTTACAGCTTCAAATTTGAATGGTTAATTGATTAATTGCTGGATTGGAGCCGTGCCTGTTAACTGTGCCATGACCACAAAACAGTCAGTTCAGCACAGGTCGTCCCCGAGCATGCAGCGATTATAATAACATTTCTCCGATGTATGCAAATATCTAGCCGCCGTATGGATGGCGGGACGCGCTCATTAAAATTTTAATATATTGCAGGATTTATGAAGGACAATGAATATGATTTAGAAAACGTGAAATTGCATGTAACGTTAATCAATTCGAAGTATCGGGTGCGTTCAGAAAGTGCTAGTTTGGAAAATTCGGAATCAAAAAGCACGAGACAACAGAGGGAATCTTTTGACGGTAGAGATGTGCTTCAAAAATTTGCTGACTACGACTTCGGAACAGTCGAGTTGACGGCTGTTCACCTGTCTCAGCGGCATACAATGGGCCCTGATGGATATTATCAACCAACTTGTGTTGTCCCGGTTCATTAAACACACACGTTCTTCTTTGTTTTAACATAGTTTATAAACATTTAAATTAATAAATTAATAGTTTTATACATATCAAATATGTAGTTTGTTTTATTTTATATCATGATCACTTGGTGGGTGAATAGTGGGATCCTTTGTAAATAAAACAACTGCCATGTGAACCTGTATAATTTGGGACCTAGGGTTTCACTGCATTCAGTCTTATAAGCACTCGAACTAAAATGGATGGTGTTGTGTTGAATACTATGCTGCCTGTAGTTTCTTAATATTGAGGTCCTGAAAACACTGACCCTAACCTTAACCTTTCCAATCGTTAATTCGAAAATCAGTAGAGTACTGGTTCATAAACTTATAAGATCAGTAGGTCCTTGCCGAGGTATAGCAAACTACATAAACAAGTTGATCCCACTTCATTTTTATGTACACTTCAGCTTTCTTAGCTTAGAATGATGTTAGATTTTTTGTTTATTGGTGAGAAACTCAAGCTGTAGGTAGATATATGAAGATAACTAGTATAAAAAATATGTTGAAACTAGCTGTTGCCCGCGACTTCGTCCGCGTAGAATAATGACTTCTGGCAGAATTTATCAGAATCGATTCAGAGCCTAAGTGAGATTTATTGTGAAATAAATTTATCGTTATTTCAAAAAATCAATAATCCCGCAGAGATTTTACCAGTACAGTGCCCGTTCCCGTAAGGTTGGAGTAATAAAAACTATTCTATCGACTATTTCTGTACCGAATCTCTCTAAAATAAGTTCAGTAGACTCCCGTTCAGACTCCCGGGGCTTTAAAGCATAGTTCCCGTTCTCATGGGACTTCTGTGATAATAACTATCATACATCGTTTCTCAGGTCTAAAATTATCGTTTTACCGACTGTAACTCAAAAAGTTTCAATTATTCTAGATTCAATAGATTGAAAGGCTAAGAAGATTTATAAAAACTCTCATCCCCTATTTTATTCCCTTAGGGGTGGAATTTATCAAAATCCTTTCTTAAGAGATATTTATGTCATAGTAGCTTTATGCATGCAAAATCTCAGCCCGATCGGTTTAAAACTAAGTTTCATACAAAGCTTCATCTCCTATTTTATCCCCTTGGGGGTGGAAATCTCTGAAATCTCTGAAATGATCAAAATCCATTCTTAGCGGATGCCTACGTCATAACATCTACCTGCATTCCAAATTTCAACCCGATCCGTCCAGTGGTTTGGGCTATGCGTTGATAGATCACTATGTCAGTCAGTCAGCCAGTCAGTCACCTTTGAATTATATACGTATACATATTATACATATACATATAGATAGATATAAATTAATGTAAGATATAAAAATAGTTGATTAATGGCTATATTATTATCTGTATTAATAAATGTTATTTTTATCTCATCGGGTCTACCTATGTAGGTACATTATTATAGAGGATTTATAGCAAATATTATGAAAGTCAAAGAGCGAAATATCTCTGAGATGCGATTACCGCATTACTTTCCGAAGCTCTTAATGCCCACGACATTGAGCTTATTCCAGTTTTCGGATAAATGGCTTTATTCGTCTGATTTGTGACTTCAGAGTTTCAAACATAGAGCGATTTATATGTCTTTAGACACAAACTAATTCAGTACCTAACTTTAGTAGGTACCTAATGTAATTTTTCCATTTTGTGATTTTTCATATAAATATTTATATTCACCCGGTATTCAAAACATTTGGGTAAGTACATAACCTTTTGTTTTATAATAAAAAAAACAATAAACATTGTACCGCTTACTACGGCGTAGCGCGTAGCTTTTCGTAGCAACGCTATACGTTTACAAAAGTTGATTAATATTTTGAAAAAGAAAAGGCTCGCAGTTACATATAGCGGTTGGTTGGCTAGGAAGTGGTGTATGCGGGCGGGGCGGCCCGGCGGACGGGCCAACGTCACACTCAGTCCTTCAGTAGGGGCGCATTGGCTACGTAATGCGCCCGCCCTGCGCTGCTCCGCGGTCTCACTGCTCGCGCTACAACTCCGATTGAACCTTCTCGTGTTTGTGTACTTACACCGGATTTCTCAGAAACATGTAAGTGCCTTGTCTTACCGATCACTTAACACATTTCAGGATATTGTACTTTATATTCAGTTCTGTGTCGTTTCTAACGACACTTGATTTCCCAAGGTTTCATGAACTTTTTTGTACTTTTAAGTGCATAATGCTTTAAAGATAAACGTTAATACCTAAATGTATTTTTGTTGAAGTTTTTATTGCTGTTAATGAAACGATATAACGTACCTACGTTACATTATATAATATGGTATTGTGTTATAATTTATGATGATGATGAAGTATTACTAAGTAGGTAAGTAGTTGAGAATTAAAAAGTAAAACGAAACATTTTTATGGTTCTTACTTTCGTAGACACCCCTCTGATTATAAATCTAAGTCTGGCCGCGCTCGTGGGCTCCACGTTTAATTTGCATATATTTATGCGTAAAGTTGTGCAGATATTATTGCAAGTAGCTTGATTTTATTTTTCAGATTACCATTTTTACAATAAGTAGGTAGATGATATAAAACAGAGCTCGAACTCGAGTTGGCTCGTAAAATGCTAAACGTAAATTACGGTCGTTTACAAAAACTAGAACCCTTTATCAGATGTATTGTAATGTGGGTCCTATTCATTATAAGTAGGTACTTCTGCTCTTTTCAGTTGGTTCTTTCAGATTCTAAGAGAATAATTATTTACGCACAGAATCATATGTTGTCATGAAATATCTATTTAAATATATTAATTTATTCATCTAGATCTATATGATCTGACGAAATAATACCTATTACCTATGTCATTAGTTTTCAGGATTTTTAAAGTACAAATGTCGTTAGATGATTCGAAGTCATACTTCATTATAATTTATGTACCTATACATTGCATTATATTTATTTACACATATTTATTGATACAAAGAACCAAGAATATACATATTATGTACTAGCTTCTGCCCGGTATATGGCAAAAGGCTCATAATATAAATAGTGAAAAGTGGGTGTTACATTGTACAGTGGCATTAAAGTGCCGCAATGTGCACCTCGTCCTACCCCGAAGGGGTAAAAAGGCGTATTGTTATGTTAGCTTCTGCCAGTGGTTTTGCCCGCGTTGCCGTGGAATAAACACGCTACTAACGTGAATATCGCTTGATACCACGTAGAATAATAATATGTAACTGTGGAAAATTAGACATCCTACATCTTAGTATTCAAAACCATTTCCATGGTGAGAACACGTATTTTAAATTAATTAACGACCATAATTACACCATCATTAATCATTATAGTTTGTCCTACATTGCGTCAACATTGTAGCAATTTGATACGAGCTTTTGAACAGGGAGTTCAATGAACTGTTGAGTCAAAAGTATTGTATGGATTCCTGTATTCCCCCCTATAGTAAAGGTGTCAAGGCGTCCATAGGATCAATGCGTAGGGGTTTGTTTAAAAATGTCCCTTATTATGTCTGTGATATGATCTTAAATCTAATTTTAGTAAGATTGTGACTTAGGTAATTTATATGTATACTACTTCAACTACGAAGAATACTATGAAGTCATCTGTACTTAATCTTGGTCTAACACGTCCCGAAAAGCAACCACAATGGCGGACTTTTGAAAAGAAATACTAAAACCAGTTTTAAAAACATTTTATATTTCTCGAACAATTTAAAATGATATAAATTGCATAGTGTGTCTACACCTTTCAAACACCCTGCCCAATCACAATGAGTAACGCCAAATAGTCGCGCTACGGAATTTTCACAAAGGCATGAACCTTTGCCGAATTCTTAACCAAGAATGCCTGAAACTTCTTGTAATTGTGAATTCATGCACTTCAAATGTAGGTACTATTATTGGCAAATTGTCATTAACATTAAGTTCTTACTATTAAAGAGAACGTGCTTTGAATAAGACCAAAATTATTCAACCAAAACTGTTTAGATTAAAAAAAAGTTCGAAAGTGGATTGTTTTTCTTTGTGGCAAATGTTACCTACATTTACACCTTCGGTGTATATTTTTGCACTAGATGCATCAGTAATATTTAAAGAGTAAAAAAATACCCTTAATACTTTTTTACTTATAATTAATTCTATAGTTCGTTCGAAGCTCTTTATTGTATCCGAATCAGAGTTATACCGTAATTACTAATTAATATGTATAATACGGTATCGGACCGGAAAACCTAATTACCTAACTTAATCTATTTACCTGCACTAAAAGAAATAAGGTTTCGCTTAATAGTTATTTATTGTCGATAGAACATAAATATATCGTTAGTCGTGTATTCAGGTACCTTGTTCGAAGTTAAGTTTGTTCGTAGGTACTAAACGATTTACAATCCACAGTTTGAAATTTATTGACTTTGTTACAAATTTCACAGTCGCACCATTTAGCTACCAGTACTTTGGAAACAACGTGTGTTTGTATCATTTGATTTGTTTATATGTACCAACATACATATCTATATGTATGTTGGTACATACTTCGATACGGATCTTGGAACATACTCTGTATTTATAGATGTGAAGATTTTCATCAGTCTTTAGGTCTGTGTGCTTAACAAGTACCTACCTAGTGAAATCCTTCCAAGGGAATAGGTTTATATCAAAATCTCGAAGTTGTTTGCAGGCGTCGTAGATCGTAGGCCGCGTCATCGCTTACCTTTAGTAAAAAATACCTTCAAAGGTAAAATCAGAAAAATAATTAAAAAAAAATATTTAACTTTAGCGCAACGTTATGCATACAGCATACAGCATATGCCAATTTTGATTGATAAATAACGGCACTCACACATTTTATAATGTAAACTATGAATGTAAGACTCTTTTATCTAAATAACTGTTCTCATTATAGATAACTAGAAATGTATTGTAGGCCTGTAGAGGATGATATAAAAATATGAAACTCGAAGGTATTCCACTATCCCTCGACTGCAATATATGACGGTTCCGTAACATAATCATAAGGGAC